AAAAAATAGCCTGAGAGGGCCGGGGAGATGGCTCAGTAGAATAAGTGCTTCCCTAGCAAGCGCAAGGGTCTGAGTTCAATCCCCAGTTCGGCAAAAAAAAAAAAAGCCTAAGATTTTAAAAAACTGCATTCAAAAACCCCCTAAACTTTTTAAAAATTGTTCTTTATTCTACAAAATAGCATCAGCAAGAGTAAAAAGATGTTAAAACCATTAGGACAGGTTTTTTTGTTTGTTTTTGACACAGGGCTTCGCTGTGCAGTCCGGGCTGGCCTTGAACTTGCAGCAATCTTCCTGCCTCAGCCTCCTGAGTGCTGGGATTACATGCCTGGTCTTAGGACAGCATTTCTGAGATGAAGCTTGGCTGACTTCCTGTCCCGTCCCCCACCTCCGCCAAAAAAATTACATATTGCAGAACAATAAGGAATTTTAAAATTTCTAGAAGGAGGGTCCAGCTTTCACTGCAGCTCCCTGCCAACACTTAGATGAAGGGGCAAGATGGAAAATATGCTTGCTTCTGGCCCTCATAACTCGAGTCTAGAAGACAGAGATGAATCCCACCCTCCAAACATGGAACTTGTCTACTTAACACATGGTTGCTTGTATGACACAATTCAGCCACCCTTTCCTGAGCTCCTCAGGTATAAATGTTGCTTTCTAAAGTAAGCTGTGGGGGCTGGGAGATGGCTAAGTAGAATAAGGGCTTCCCTGGCAAGCGCCAGGGCCTGAGTTCAATCCCCGGTTCCGCAAATAAATAGATAGATAGATAGATAGATAGATAGATAGATAGGATATAGACAGATAAGAGTTGTGGGCCAGGGAGATGACCAGTAGAATAAGTGCTTGCCTGGCAAGTACAGGGTCCTGAGTTCAATCCCTGGTAGTGCAAAAATAAATAAAATAAAGTAAGTTGTTATCACATAGTACTCACATTCTGCTAAACAGTTTATAAAGCACTGTGGTTACTTATTTTTTTAATGAGACCTTTTCATGCAATTAGTACAAGGTCTACAGGGTCTCACTAAACAGATCGGACTTAGGTGATCCTCCCACTTTCAGCCTCCCAACACTGGGATTACAGGCATGCACCACCACACTAGTCTGAATTTTTGTTTGTTTGTTTGTTTAGACTTTTGGTTATCTACTTTTTGCAGTCAATACTTAACCTTATCAGATAGACAGGACTGGTTATCTTCAAACACTCCAGCTTTTCTCTTTTTTGTTTGTTTTTGGGTTCTGGGAATCAAATGCACCTTGCACGTGCGAGGCAGGTACTTGTGCCACTGAGGTATTCCCCAGCTTCACCCCAACTTTTATGCATGAGAAAGCAGTCGTACAAATAAAAACTGGGATAGGAACCACACTTGGATCTTATTTACAAAGCCTGAAGGTTTCCATTTTAACCTTCAGCCTCATTTAAAATGAAAATTCATATTCTTTTGTGTTGGAAACCATTAACTGGTATCCATTTTATAATAGTGTCCGTCATTTTCTTAAGTTTCTATTCCCCTGCTGAGTTAAGTTTCTGCTCCTTCCCGCCTTCCCATTCCCTGTGAATCACGTGCTATGCCCCAGGGGTGGGACCTTCCCCGTTGCCTAGATACCTGCTGACCCCCAAGAGCCGAGATTTCCTCATTCCTACACCCCCCTATATATACCCAGCACCTCCCCTGAATAAAGGAGACTTGATCAGAATCCTGTCTTGTTTCCATTTCTCGCGTCTCCCATCCTTTGTCCCCTCCTCCATTCCCCGCTCCTCTCCCAGGTGACCTTCGTTGATTGACCCGCTGGATGGGACACTTTTGCCTTATGAAACTTGTTCTTTGTATATAATAAAATGTCTTCAAAAACTCTAAATAAATAAATAAATAAATAAAATTGGGCCAGGGAGATGGCTCAGTGGAATAAGCACTTCTCTGGCAAGTGCAAGGGCCTGAGTTCAATCCCCAGTTCCGCAAAAAAAATAAAAATAAATAAAATAAATCCACGGCACATGCCTGTAATCTCAACTACTTAGAAGGCTGAGGCAAGAGGATTCCAACTATGTGACCAGCTTGGCAACTTATTTCACCAGTAAAACGCTTGTCTAGCATGTAAGTCCCCAGGCTCAACGCTTAATATCACACACATCAAACCAATTAGAAATGAAGCTTTCATTTAAAATAGGTCATGGGAGCTCGGAACGGCCTCGGCACCCAGACCGCTCCGCTCCGATCCATCGACAAAAATGTCCAGCCCTGGGCTGGTGAGATGGCTCAGTGGTCTAAAGCACCTACTTAGAACAAGCTAAGCTAAGCAAAGCACAGGGACCGCGGTTCAATCCCCCAGC